AAAAAAAAAAAGGGGGGGGGGGATGTGACAGGGCAGACTTGAAGAAAAACCTAAGGCCAATGGTGCGCCAGTGCTGCATGGAAAGTAGGCCCTGGTGCTATCTGTGCATCTTCTGAGGGACAACACTCCCACTGCCATCCTCTTAGCAGCAGAAAAACCAGTCCTGCCAGTCCTGGGGTCAAACACGCTGCCCTGAGTCCCACTTCTGCCCCTTCTGTCCCTGGCACCATGGACTGATCACAGAGCCTTGGTGAACCCATCTCCTCAGTCTAAAGCAGGATCCTCACTCAGTTGCAAGGTCATTTTGAAGGTCAAATGGAATAATGCACAGCAAAGTGGTTTGTATATGTATGATAAATCTTCATACTCTAGCACCCTGAAATTAACTTTCTGCTTTGTCGGAAACACAATTGATATTGGAGGAAGGAGCCAGTAACTCTGTTTTTCCCCCCTCTTTGTGCATCAGTAATATATAAATATCATTGGGAACAGAGCATTGTCTTCATGTTCTAACAACTTATCCCATTAAGGATTTGTTTTGGGGGGGGATTAAACAGGTATAAAAAGGGTTTCTGTGACTATCTGGAAAATGAAGCTGTTTGCCCACTCACACCAAGCAAAATGGGTTATCACCACTGCTGGGGTAGTGAGATATATATATATGTATGTGTATATATGTATATATATTTTTTTTAAAGGAACCTACACTGAATAGATGGGCTATAAAAGACATATATTGTAGTCTCTCCTAATATTAAGGAGAAATCATGCTTATTTGTTCATTCATTTTTTCAGTAAATACTGAGTACCTACTATGAACCAGAAATTGGCATTTTACTTTCAAATGACCCCAGCTTCATAAAACTTTCTACAGTAAAACAATCAAAAGCACCCTTTCAATTTTTTGTTAAACCTAGATTCCCAAGAAATCAATGGAGACAGACTATCAATACTTTGTTAATGGATTAGTTTGGGAGTAAAAAGCTGGGGACAAGAAGACAAGGTAGTGCTCTTAGAGATATCATTAACTCGATAGCCAGTGTTTGTCCTTTGTCCAAAATCACCTAAGTGATCCTATCTCCACCTTGAAGCAGAGAAATTCACCTTAGTACCTGAGGACGGCGGCAGAGATCATGGGAGACAATGTCGCCAGCCACAAGGAAACTCTGCCCTCTGCCCACCCCAAGCCTGGGCAGACCCAGAGATGGACAAGACCACCTATTGTGATCAATGTCCTAACCCTCCTTCCACGGAAACTTGCAACTGGTGAGGCCTTGATATGGAAGGCCAGGTTAGAAAAGGGCAAACGAGGGGCAAAATTACCTGTTCAGTTCTGGGAGATTTTGTCTCAAACCTACATCAGGGAGTCTCAGGTGATCACTCCTGAGGGTCTTTGCTCAAAAGTGGAGCTAAGAAGTTGAGGACATGGGAAGGATCTCTGAGAGGCACATGGAACCCAGACCTCACGTGAGGGTTCTGAAACACTTGGTTATAAATGCTTAGGGTAGAAAAAGCCTATAAAGCCCTCAAATCGCCTTCATCTCTGGAAACCTTGAACCTTGCACCATCCCTTTCCATCCGCCTTTCCCACAAGTCTGACTATAAACCAGAACCACTCTACTCCATCTCCTTGAAACTAAACCCACGTCAGTTAAAAAAGCAAGATTCCATGCCATATGCTAACGATGTCCGATTTCTAGATGACCTGAGGATCGATAAAATATCCAAAAAGTCTTCTTTAAGAACTATACACATAGCAGGAATTCTGACACGATCAGAGCATGCTGTCGTTTCTACTAAGCACCCATGCACTATCAGGCCTGCCACCAAGACTTTAAGCAGTTTTTGAAAGAACGACAATCTTTGAAGCCATGAGAGTGTGTGTAGTTCACAAAGGGGTCAGACATCCTTACTCCGCTTAGGCAGCTGGAGAAGGTGCTGGGCCTTCTGGGGCCGGCGTGTGGGAGGGGGAGGCCAAGGTGCTGGGCTCAGCCTGTTCTGGGGGCGGGAAGTCACTCCTTCTAGCAAGATGGGGAATCACAGCCTCAGCTAAAGCAGCGGGAGGCTGGCTATCCATCTTATCTTGTAACCACAGACTTTCCAAACTCTGCCAAAACTCTGGGGAAGGGGTCTAGGCCAAATCCTAAGCTGAAGGATATCAAGCTCTGGTTTCAAGAGATCATCAGATAGCTCCAGGAATGCAGTATGAAAGCAGAAGGTTGAGTCAAACTTTCCACATGACACTGTCCCTGTGGCAAGCAGAGAAGGCAAGCATGGCATGGGGCAGGACACACCCAGGACCACCACCACCACCACTACCACCAGCTGGAAAGGCCTTGCCAAGCAACAAAAATATATCACTATGGGTATATATTCTTTGGCTTGCAAGTCTGATGTCTAGCCAGCACCCCAAGCGCTGACTGCTCGCACTCCTACCTTGCGCCGGGGTGCCAGTTTCCTTTGAGTTTTGGTTGCAGACCTGCAGTTCCCAAGGCGCTCCGCTCCACCACTCTGCTGAACAGAAACTCCTTTCTCAATGATACTGCAAGCTGAAGGGGGACTGGACACCTTCCCAGTGCCCAGGGCTTCTCAAACACTCCCGAGGGGCAGCAGCGGCTGTTCTCAGCCTGATTTACCCACGGGGGAAGGCAATGCCATGCTATTCCTTCCAGAATGGGGCAGCAGTTACCATTTTAAGAAAAATATCTTCCCTGGTCAAGAGCCAGCAAGCTGAAACCTACTCAAAGCCCAGGAGGGCTCAAGCACCCAGCAGTGGGACGACAGGTTTAAATTTCCCTGTTATTAGTGAAGCCAAAGCGAGACTGGGGAGTAGAGAGAGTAGAAGAGAACAGTTAAACTTTGGCATCCCTGCTGTTCGCATGGCCTGGCTCCCCCTGAAGGGCACTCTGAGGGTCAGTGAGTTTGGAGACTGGAGAAACCCAAAGGAATCAACGTGGAGTTCACAGGGGCAGGTCAGCAGCTCTTAGTTACCGGACCTACTGTGTCTCTCTAATTACTACTTGCTTTGAGAGCTCGGACAGCTGATATCCCAGTAATACCTTTGTTCCATCCAACACTAATACTAGCAGCGATTTTTTTAAGAAAGAAGAAAGGAATCCAGTAAAGCAAGTATTCAGGAAAGCTAAGAAAGTTCTGAAGAACACATACCATGTACATAGAAAAGGCCACACTTTACCATCTTTTGGTAAGAATATTTCACTTTCATTTAGGACAATTTAGGATACTGTTCAGCTTGCACATGTGTATATATATACACATATATATATAAAACAACCAACGCTCAAAAACAGTGCCTTGCGAATGACCCAGCACTACAGTAGTCCTGCTATTTTACTGTGTGAATGACACTGAAGGCCCAAACACTTTTTACCACTTATGAGTACTGCCAGCTTATTGGTGCAAGAAACAAAAGGAAAGAGCTGTTGGTTTGGAAAGAAAAGTTTCACCCAAGGAGGTTTTGAATGAGTCCAAATTTTTTGGCAGGTAATGTTTTCTTTGAATATCTTAAATATGTTAAAGGCACTGCTAACATCTTTAAAGAAAAATCAAAATGAGGTGACGGCCCCTTGACGAGGTGCAACATCAGAACGAAACCTCTGCTTACCTGGTTAAAGGTTTTCTTTTCTTTGTAGGTTTCCCGACTGCCTCTTCTTTTCAGGGAACTCTGAAATAGATCCAAGTGACATTCTGTTAAGGAGGTATCACACATGGAACTTGCCCTGGGTGGGCACTGTCCCCACTGGTCAGTGACACACAAGGACGAGGTCTTTTTTTTTCCTCCTCACTGAAATCAAGTAACCACTTACAGTCAATGTTTCAATGCAGTTAAATAGGTTGCTGAGGTCTTTGAATCCTAAAAGGCTTTAAATCCTTATTATTTTTCGGGTACTCCTCAGTTACTCAGTTTCATGAAAAAGGAGGGTGGTTTGGATAATTTGTACCAGTGGAGGAAAGATGAGAACAGGAAAAAGTAGAAAGTTTTGGAAATAGATATGTAGTATTTCTGGGCTGCTGTATCTTCCTAATTATGTTTTGTTTGGACTAATATCAAAATTATTTGATGCTTCCTGAATGCCTAAAAATAAATGGCCAGATTAAAAAAAAAAAAAAAGTGGTAGAGAGGGGAAAAAGGTGGCTCTTGTTTATGGAGAAAACCTAATAATGTAGGTTGCAACATTCTCCATGAACAAGCCCCAATTCATGATTAAACCTACATCTTAAAGCTCTAAGAGAGTTCATAATTTATTCATTTGTGGTGTGGCCTTGGCTGTCCTTCAGTGCACCTTTGCCTGCTATAGGCAAGAAATGTGTCTGAAATATAAACATAAGTATAAATACAAGGGCCAAGGGGTGTCTGAAATGGGATAACAGGAGGCAGACAGCTCCTGCTACAGTAAAGTATGAGGACAGAACTGACTGGAACAAGAGCGGGAAGCATCCTAGAGGAAGACAAAGGAATTCGAAACCTGAAAGAATTCATGTAATCCTGAGACAAGTTGGAAGAAAGCAGCTCGGAAAGTTAAGACTGCTGGCTGTCATTCAGACCTTGGCAAACCTGTGAATGGGAAGAGATTCCTCCGAGGGCCGCCCCCCTCCCTCTGCCCTACCTGAGGCAAGGACCTGGCTGCTCTGGGGACTCACCTTGAGGTGGGCTCAGAGCCCCACATACCAAAACCTGGCAAGGGAGGCTCTTATGCAGGTCACTTATGTAACAGTCAGACCTTCAGTTAATAAACTCCGTTCTGTTTACATTTAAGTGTCTCACTCACAGAAGACTAGGCCATGCCATTTACTGGATGAATTCAGGGTTAAGAAACAAAATTCTAGTTTCCCTGAGCCTCTAGGAGGCTGGAGGCCAGGGTGAGGGGTGGGGGGGTGAGGTAATTGAGCAAAGGGGTGAGATGGTTATAGAATCAGCATGAGAGTGGGTGCTCCTTGGTCACCGAGGGGGTGTGGGCGCTTGTCTCTGCGCCCCTCTGCAGGAGTGGCTTTGTTTCCTTGAGGCTTTTTGGTAAAAGCAGGGTCACACTACACAGAGAACCAGTCTCCTCCTATAGGTGAAATTAAGCAAGTCTTAAGAAGGGCTTGAGTGTTCCCCCATAATAAGTAGGTTTTCCTGGACTCTTCACGCTGCAGTGAGGGAGTGTCTTTGATCTGAATGAGCTCAGTGAGATGAACACTTCTGATAATTCCCTACAGAGAAGACTTACAATAAGGGAGCAGGAGAGAGACTGTTCCCAACGCTTCAGCCGGAGGGACTTAATTCTGGGGCTGTGAGTGCAGGAACCCGCCTGCTGTGAGCCCCACATCACACCACATTCTCCCAATAAACACAGATTTTGCCGCACTGCAAGAAAACTATCCAGAAGTGAGATGCAGCTAAAAGTGGAGACAGAAGTTTCTGAAAATCTAGGCAGATTCCCCGGTTGCTGTACTTCGGGGCTGGAGGAGGGGGCACATTCCGGGTGAGCCCTCCTGCTTGGAGGGAGGCAGCAGGGTAGCACTGCCCAGATTCCTCCAACCCCCGATGGGTCTTTTCCCCTCGCTGAGCCCTGAATACAACAGCCTCTGAGTCCTGTGATTCTTCTAGCGACAGGCAGCACAGATCCCCCGTCACAGACCCCAGTCCCAACAGCAACTGTGATGAAAAACGCTGCAAGGACTAAAGGTAACCAGAAATTTGAAGGACCTACATGAAAGAAACCGTAAAACTTTGGTGATGGACATGAAGCAATGCTTGATGTTAATGGTATCTGATGGAAAGGCCTTGTGTTGTAAAGATACCACATTTCTCCCAAATCATTTTCTAAGTATGATAACATTTTAGTCAAATTTCTCTCTCCCTCCATATACATAATGTGTATAATGTAATATATGTACACATACACACAAAAAGTATTTGTATGTGTGAAGATATATATACACACACCTTTTGTTTATTTGTGAGGAAGGTAAGAGGATGGCAAAATGATTCAAAAATTCATCCAGAACGGGGCTGGCGAACTATGGCCCTCGGGACAAATCAACCCTCAGCCTGTTTTGAAAGCAGGTTTTTCTGAAGTGCAGCCTCCTTACTGTGGTCTGTGGCTGTTCCCGCTGCAAGGGCAGAGTTGAGTAGAGACAAATGGTACGGTCTGCAGAGCCTAAAATATTTACTATCTGGCCCTTTTCAGAAAGTTTGCTGGCCTCTGAGCTAGAAAAACAGATTGGTAAAAACAGACAAAAACACTTTGAGAAGGAAGACTGATGACCGTAGGTTTGTACTATTAGATATAAAAATATAACATGATGGTTTGGTGCTGGTACAAGAATAGGCAGATCTATTGAACAAAACAAAGCTCCAAAATAGATTAGAAAGTTTATAAGGTGTTAATAATTGATACAGGTAGCATTTTAAAACAGTGGGGGGAAGAAAGGGCTATTTGTTAGAGGTTGGGGGAACAACTGTCTAACACAGGAAAAATACAGCAAGATCCATACCATGTACCAAGAAAATTCCAGATGAGTTAAAAAATCTAGATGTAAGAAATCATAAATGAACTAGAAAGAAAGGAGATGAATTTCTATTGTCCTTGGGGCTGGCCTTTATAAACACAGCTACAAAAGCCAAAACATCTAATGGGGAAAAAAATCAATAGAATGACTTGGAGAGATTTTTAATTTTTATATATCAAAAGAAACCATTTACAGTATTAAAAAGCAAATGACAAAGTGGAAAAAAATTTCTAACCCAAGACAGACAAAAGAGTAGTATTTTGCAAGCAATAAGAAAATACCTTAATAAGAAAATAAACAAGTGGCCAATAAATATATGATTGACAATTAAAACAACAAGATATCATTTTTTCACTTAGAGATTTACAGACCAAAAGAAGTACAACACCCGGTGTTAGGGAGTGTCCACGGAGGCAGGCACTTCCACACTGATCAATGAGAGGGGGGGTGCTACAGCATTTCAGGCGGGCAACTCAGCCTCACAAATGCATATATTGTAACCCAGCAATTCCACCTCTGGGAATGTACCCTAAGGAAAAATGCAGGAATACGTGTAAACATTTATGGGTAAGAATGCTCATCACAGTTCCTTTTTTAATAGTAAATATATACTGTGGAGGTTATTAAAATGATGTTGTTGACATACTTAAAGATTTAGGAAATATTATACATTAAAAGAAAAATATAGGTTACAAACAGCATGTATTTTGTGACTTCCATTTATATGTAAACATGTATGTGTTACATGTGTTTGTTGGAAAAGTAGGCTGCAGAAATATGTATCAAAATGTTAATAATGATCATCGTCAGGTGATAGAATTATGGGTGATTTTAATTTTTGTTCTTGTGGCTTTTCATAGTCTGCAAATTATCTACAATAAGTACTATTTCTTTTGCAGAACAAAACAAAAGAAACCCAGGAAGATAAAATTTGTACTTTAAAGAGGTGAGAGAAAAGAGGCTACTGCTCATCTCCAGTGCTGGAGCAGCAGAGCTTCATCGGAAGTTATCTGACAACGTCTTGGGCTTTTCTCCATAATTAGAAATTGTTTTCATTAGCCTAGTCCTTGAGGTGTAACCTATACATACACGGTTCTCTAAAAAGACCGAGGAGCCTGCTAAGGGTTAGGGGAACTGGCCAGGTGCCCCCTGCACTGCAGGTCCCTGGCATAGGGCTCCCTCGCCAAGCTCCAAGCAGTCAGGAGGCCCCTAGGCTGGGGTGTGGTCTCCCCCGCTGCTCACCCGCATATTGGCCAAGGAACCCTGGGTGCCGAGTGATTTGTATGAGATTATTCATGGCCAGCTCGTTCCTCTGGATGACTCAAAGGTCCAGTGGAGAGTCTCTCCCAAGAAACAATGAAGGGAAAGAGGAAAATGTGGACTGTCAAATAAATGGGGCCCAGGATGGGGCTGTGCCCGCTGCTTAACTCTGCTCTTTCTTTTCAGTCTGGCCAGCTGCCCGAACCCAACTCTAAATTCTTAGGGAAAGGGAAAAAAATGGATATGTGAATCCATCTAAGTCTGATGCATTTGCTGAGTACCAAATATGATTAAATAAAATATGAAGTCAGGCAATTATCTGGACTTCCATATCAATTCTTAATGCTTCCTACTTTCAGTGAGCCAGTTTCTTCCAAGCAATTTCTGAAAAACTAACAAGCTCTCAATGGCTAAAGTGTCTTCAGCGTTAGGCTTTGGGCTTAAAATTTAAATTGGTAATAAAAGGAGGCAAATACAAATTAGATCACCATATTAGGAGTCTATGCGGAAAAGCGGGTATAGATGTAGGCAGATGATTTTCAAAATTCTTACAGATTCTTATTATTTAGAAAGTAGTCTGGGGTTTGGGGGCTGCTTTCTAATACACAGTTACAAAATCAGAATAAAATGACAGTCCACAGGTCTTCCTTTTAGGAGGACATTATCAGGATTCTTCTGCCCATATGAAAGTTCTCATTTGAGTGTTACAGGGTGTAAAGAGTAAAAACTATTAGCTTCTTCTTCAGCAGAAGCACCAGGTCCTGGCTGGAAGATGCCTCCTGCCCTTGTCTCCTCTCCACTTGCCCCTAAAAAGCTCCCAGGGAAGCAGGCTCCCTTCATGCCACAGAATCACAGCGCTCCACTGAAGCAGCTGCACCACTTCCACTGCAGGCCCGATCAACACAAACC